TATATATATATATATATATATGAGACAGTAAATACTTCACTCCTCCAGGTTTATTCCCCTGCAGCTTGCACATTTCCCCTGAAGTTTACAATAATAACTCAGGCCCCTGTTTGCTTTTTCGTCATCTTTTTACCGTACCGAGTAAAAACTCAGTGCTTTTTGCATATAGTGATGACTGCAAAGAGGATAAACTGGGTAGATGTTTGAGGCCTAGCGAGTTTGTTTATGGGGAAGTGTTTTTTTTTTCCTTTCTCTCTTTTAAGCCACCAAAGCTTTCCCAGCTGGACTGCTTAATACCGAGCGCTACTGCAGCGTCAAGGACTGAAAAGGACTGCGAGGACGAGTAGCCCTCACTGCTTTTTAGACTGCAATGAAAGCATTGTTTCTTTAGCATCAAACCACAGCGACACTGGGACGACAACTTGTTTCTTCAACTCACGAGGATTTTATGAGAAGTGTAAAACAGCGTTCAGTAAGAAGATTTGTTTCAACTAAAAAAAAAAATGTTTGCAATGAAATGAAAAGAAAGAGAGGACACATTGTGCCTCGACTTGATTGGCCTTAATGGAAACCAGTTGTCCCTCTTGCCTCTGCAGCGTGATAGTCTAAAACAGCTGAGCTCCCCTGAAGACACAAAAGACAACCAAACAGATACTCACAAAGGCTTTCCATCTCGTGGCTGTTGTGCATCTCACTGCAAGTGGAAGCCGTCTCTTCTGTCAGAACCTTTTCCTCTCTTACTTCCAGTAATTAACAAGGAAAAACTCCAATAAGACTAAAACAATAAAAATCCTCTGAATGTTTCCCAGAATGTGGTGGCTGCTGTTAAATTATTTACTACTAAAATTACAAGAGCTAATCTCACAAACTGCACACACAGACACACACACACCAACATGTACTCTCTATTTCTGTTGATGTTCCGGAGTCAAAGCCTTCCCTGATGAACAATAAACACGGCGACTCCAAGGGGATTGGCCTTCTGGGGAATCCCATGTGCGGAGGGCGAGGGATGACTCAACGCAACAAAAACTAAGAGACGACAGGAAGGAGCTCTGTGATTAAACTCTGTGCGGCCGCTGCACGTCGCCCAGAAACATCTATAGCCCAGTTATGATGCTGATTATCTATAATGTAAACCTTGTGCAGGGACAGGGAAGCAAACTTCTAGAGATCACGAAGCAGCATCTTTTTGAGTCAATGTGTTTGCCAGGACTCAACAGCAAGAGATTTTAGTTTGCCAGCAGCGTAACGCAGAGGAACTCATCTGTGGCAACTTGCCCTTTCCCCCGAATCTTCACTTGCAAGTGTGCTTCCTCCATCTGGCTCCTCTTCCACTGAGTGAGGGTGACATTTGCAGTCTGCTGCATGGCATCATGAAGCACTTCACGCCATAGAGGCTTGGGGTGGAAAGTTCACCCAAAGGTCCTCCGGGCTCCACCGCCGATGATGGTAGTCTTTGAAGAAGCTAATTGCCCGTAAACCACAAAGCTGCAGTTATATTCTCTTAACCCTTAAAATATCACTGCAAACCTCAGAAGATCCCGTCTCTGTTTTCAGTGTGTTTAGGTGTTAAAAGTTCAGACCTTAAATATTCAATAAAAGCTGCCTGTAAACTCGCACCTGAGGGACCAATCAGCTCAGCAGCAGAAGAAGTACTTGGCTAATCTGAAACATTCATCTGTGGGGTGAGAAAGGTAAGGGTATTATGACCAAATACGTTTTGTACAACTGCCCTTCTGCCTGCATTGAACCAATGCTGCTGCAGGGTTAAACAGTACAGCTGTTTTTTTTTATTCTTTGGGTTTATCTTTACACTGTGCTCCCCATGATCTGAGAGCGTCCCAGTTGGGAGAGAGATGAGAGCTTGCACAGTTGAATTTCTACGAAGCCGACAGGCTAGAAACAGAGTAAATAGCACTGAAACTATACACTCCAGCATCACAGTCACTACTCAGTGGACCGTGATGTTTTTACA